TGGGGGCCGAGCAGAGCTGGGCCCAGCATGGAGTTTCCGGTCCCTGGCTGATTCCCATAAGTGGGGGGAGGGGGACGATTCAGGGGGTCATTTCAAGTTAAAAATAAAAATATCTGACATTTTTAGTGCCTGAAAAAGTCAGGAGGAAAAAAATTCATTTTTCCTTTTGACTTCAGGTGGAGAAATGTCCTGTGGGGTCAAGCCGTTTCGCTCTTAAGCATTTTCAAACATTTAAAAATAAAAATTTCGAAACAAAACGCCATTTGGAACCAAAAACTAGAAACACGTCCCCCATAATCTGCCCGTGGGAGAGACGGACTTGATCTCTTTGTTTGATGAGATTACGGGTTTGGGGGATAACCGTGACGTAACAGACGTAGACTTCGGCAAGGCGTTTGGGCTTGGTCCCGCACGGCATTCTGCATAAACAATCTCGAACGCTATAAAATGAACATGACCCACGTCGAATGAATTAAAAAACAGCGGCTAGGTCTCGAAATGTAACTGTAAACAGGGAATCAAGAGGCCGCATTTCCAGTGAGTGGGGTCCCGCAGGGATCGGTTCTCGGCCCTGTGCTGTGAAACATGTTTGTCGGTGACCTGGGCGAAGACATAAAATCATCCTGGGTAACGTCTGCAGATGACACAAAAATCGGGGGAGTGGTAAATAACGCAAAGGACAGGTCACTGACTCAGAGCAATTGGATAAACTGGGCGCAAGCAAACAAGAGGCGTTTTAATGCGGCTAAATGTAAATGTATCCATTTAGGAACAAAGAATGTCGAGCATACTTAGAGTTGCTCTCTCCTGGGAAGCATGACTGGGAAAAAAGATTTGGGGGTTGTGGTGGGGGGATCGCAAGAAGTGGAATCTGTCATGATGCCTCTACATGATTGGCACGCTTGCAGGGTTTCAAGATAAGAACATAGGAATGAATGGCCATATTGGGTCAGACCAATGGCCCACCTAGCCCCATATCTTGCCTTTGACAGTGGCCAGTTCTAGATGCTTCAGAGGGAATGAACAGACCAGGGAAAATGCAAATGATCCATGGCCCTGCCATCTAGTCCCAGCTTTCAGCAGTTGGAGGTTAGGGACACCTGGAGCCTGGCCATCTTGGCTACTAGCCACTCATGGACCTATCCTCCATGAGCTTATCTAATTCTTTCTTCAACCCAACTTTTGGCCTTCACAACATCATGTGACAATGAGTTCCACAGGTTGACTGTCTGTTGTGTGAAGAAATATTTCCTTACGTTTGTTTAAAACCTACTATTAATTTAATCAGGTGACCCCCCCCCCCAGTTATTGTGTCACGTGAAGAGTTAAATAACACTTCCCTATCCCCTTTCTCCACACCAGTCACGATTTTATAGACCTCCATCGTGTCCCCCACTTAGTCATCTCTTTTCCAAGCTGAACAGCCCCCGTCTTTTTAATCTCTCCTCGTGCGGAAGCTGTTCCATCCCTCTAAAATTTTTCATTGCTCTTCTTTGCACCTCTTCCGACTCTAAGGAGCTTTTCTGTGATGGGGCAACCAGCACTGCATGCCGTATTTCAGGTGAATGGAGAGGACAAGTCACTGATACCCAGCAATGTGGATTGCTTGGGGAGGTGGACCCAAGCCAGCAATATAATATATGGAGATATCCCTATCTCATAGAGTTGGAAGGGACCTTGAAAGGTCATCAAGTCCAGCCCCCTGCCTTCACTAGTAGGACCAAATTCTGATTTTTGCCCCAGATCCCTAAGTGGCCCCCTCAAGGATTGAACTCACAACGCTGGGTTTAGCAGGCTAATTCTCAAACCACTGAGCTATCCCTCCTCCCAATATACCAATGTAAAGTTGTACAGCCAGGAACAAAGAACGCAGGCCATACCTACGGGATGGGGGACTCTATCCTGGGAAGCAGTGACTCTGAGAAACATG